TTAACTAAAGAGTATTGCTTCAAGCATTCTTCAATACTTTTCATATTCAACTAAACTTAAGCTTACTTTCTATTTTTAATATTTTTTGCAAAATATTAGCTGTTTGTAAATTGTTTAGGGTTCTGGTATTAAAGAGAATTTTAGTTTGCCGATAGCTTTAAACTTTGATAAAGAGTATATTAAAAACCTACTTGTTGTTTTTCTATTATTACAAAGTTGTAGCAATTGTGAGCTTATATTTACTAAATAGTAATTTATTATATATTAAGAAACTAAAAAGTAATAAAGAGATATGGTAACATAGAGTAGTGGTTAAGTTGTCACCCCCAAGTGGCAGGTCTAGAGTTTGATTTCCACCGGAGACATTTTTCAAAAAATAGGCCTATGTTCTAGTAATATCTATTCGACGATTGGTTGGGTATATCATCTATAATCTTGATACTACCATCTTGTAATAGAAGCTTTAGGGTGATCCAAATTCAAGAAACCAGAATATTTGAAACTCGTTTGGCAAGACCTAAGCTAGAAGTAGTGAAGATATTCAATAATACTATAGAAAATCAGAACTAGAGACTGAAGAACCGGATGAACAACTCTGAAGCAAGAAGGGTTTACCAATCTGGCCACCAGAGTCATATTAGAGAAAAAGGTCTGATGCTACAGAATTTGAAACCAAGAGAAGTAAAACCAGAAGGCACTTAGAGCCTAGATACAATAATCCTTCCAGGCTAACTGGTTTAGTAGTTGGGAAGGAATCGGTATAAGAACTGGTTAAAAGTGGGTATCGGGATTGAAATGAACCTTGTAAGAGCAAGAAGTAGGTAATAGTAGCAGCTATAAAAGCCACAAGTACTAGTCCTCAGATTGGGTGTAAATTACTGAAAAACCCAGGTGATATATATGTAGAATATGGACCACTCTGGTAGATTTACCACAAAGATAAAATAGTCCTAAAGGGCTTTAGCGGTAAGAATTCTTTCGGTGAAAGTATCTGGTGATGCTAAGTCAATCAGAGGATTTAAATAGAGGATCCACAAGCAGATCCTAGGTATGGCAATTGGTAGATAACTATAGATGGTATAGCGGAGCCCTTAATTAGATAATAACTAAAATTATATATATGACCAATTGTACTCTCATTGATGTAACAAAGTCAAGGGTGCCTATTCGGTATCCCAATAATTGAACTGAGAAGTTAATAAACCATGCCAGACCCCCAAGTGGTCACCTTAATATTAAAAAAAAAAAACTAAAGAGTAATAAATCATATATAAGATAAACATATAAGATAAATATATATTCTAATTGGCTTAAACTTCTTAATATACTATATAACATATATATATATAATTCATTTGTATTATTTGATCATTAAATTACTCATCATTTATTTCACAGATTTAATTATATTTTGTCAAAAAAATCTAAAATTAGTTTATTAAAATTTTTATACTATATATTTTACTAATAACTAATTTGATCGATACATTAGCAAACTTTACTTTATAGCAACTTTTTTTTTTGTTTAAAAATAAATCTTTTTTTTTAAAAAAAACCTTCAAGCTTTCAACTTTTCTTAACTCTTTCTAACAAATACTTGTACTAACAAACTACCAAAAGCAAGTTGAAAACTTAAACCTAGAAGTCAATACCAACTTTAAGTTTTTTTGATATGAACTATTATTAACAAAATTTTTAAATATGATATACTGAGAAGCAGGTATTCTAAATAGTTTGTACAAGAGTTAAGTCTTTTCTTCTCTGTTTTAGCAAACTCTCTTGTATATTTGGTATCCAAACTAGAGAAGTCTCTGAGAACAGCAAATAGAAAGTAAGCTTAAGTTTAGTTGAATATGAAAAGTATTGAAGAATGCTTGAAGCAATACTCTTTAGTTAAGAATTTGCAATACTTACAATATTCTTCTCTTTGATATTTTGGTTATACATCACAATGTATAATTAAGTACTTGTCAAGTACTTACTAAGTACTTATTAAATACTTATTCCAATTACTTATTAAACCAATTCTAACGCACCTTATACTTAGTAAATACTTAAAACTAAATATTTAGCAAGTAATTATATAATTATAATAAATATTTATTAAATATTTATAATAAGTATTTAACAAGTATTTCTAATAAAGAAGCATTTAAATAATGACTTCTTATACTCAATATCTTTATAGCAAAGTTAGGATTGTAATATATATTAAATTAGATTAAAGTTAAAATTAAAGTTAATATTAGGATTCAGGTAATGTAAAATTGCAAGAGGAATATTTTTGCTTATATTAAGGTATAGGTACCTATTTCTGAGGACTTTTTTTGCTATATATAAAACGAATTTACTAAAATATATCTATAGTGTTGAACACCATATTGCACAAACCTATTAGAATAGCCAATCAAAATTTAAAATCAGGTGTAATGTAAAATTTTGTTTTTTTGTTTATTTTTTTAAAAAAATGTAAATATCTTAAAATTTTGCTTAAAAAATCACCTTTGAGGCTCTAATAAAAAATTTCTTGCTAAATTTTGCATATACTAATGTCCAAATAAAATTTTAGGCCTTAATCTAACCCTAAAGTAACTTTTTGTTTTTATAAAAATTTGTTTTTTTGTTTTTGTTATACAAATCTGTAAATCAAAACAATATATATGGTGTTCAACACCATAGATATGTTTTATAATTACTAATATAAAAAATCTTCAAATTTTCAAATATATTTGTAAACTTTTATATATAAGATCTATGATCAATCGACTATACAAATATAAAATTTATTTACGCTTTGCATATATAAAAGTTTATTCTAATCGTAAAATTGAAATCCTTATTATTTATGAAAAATTAAAAGCAATAAACCTATTCCCGTAGACATATAATAGACACAATTTTTTTTTAAATAAACCAAATAAATTTATTAAAAAAATATGTTTGTGATACTAAATTATATGTAATATTAAATTTTTTTAAAGATCAAATTAAAATTTTATTAATAAACTTGGCCATTTAATTGTAGTAAAAAAATTTACAAAATTTTTTTTTTTTTTACGAATATTAAAGGTAAATTAATCGATAAAATTTTAACCAATCTTTATAAAAAATTTAGAATATATAGAATTCATTACAATGAACATATTATTTAATTCACCATAGCTATTTATTTAGTAAAAATCGCTTTCAATACATAGCATTTAATAATAATATTTGATAGTCAAAATTTTAAATTCATAGACAAATTAATTTTACTAAAACTTACTATAAAATATGATATTAAAGGCTATTTAGCCTTTCAAAAATATAGATGGTCCTATTTATTCTTATCATTATTTTCAGTTTGTTTTCTTGCTTTTTTAATGGCCTGCTGCTCTTTCTTTAACCTTGTATCTTCAATTTTTTTTGCTTCGTGTTTTCTCTATCTTCCAATTCTTTCACAATTAATTCTGCAGTTATAAGAGGTCTAAACTTGAAGGTTTTGGGTCGGGTTTGAGATTTTTTCTCAATTGAACATTGTTGTGGAAATGGATAATTCATAATCGAAGCCAAAGATACTGTTCCAGGATGCTCTAATCTTTGAACATGTTTATATAATATTTTATTTTCATGCTCAAGCTGAGCTAATCTGCTAGTTCTTGTATTATGCATGTGAATTGGTTTCAGATTTGAAACAACAGGTTGAAATATTAGTAATAAAGGTATTAAGTGAGTGAGATTAATTATATTAGGTTTAGGGGCCAAATACCAGTTGCAGCATAAGCATGCTTAATTGTATCAGGAGTGTAAGTTTCATAAAATGTTTCACCAAGAACTTGTACAAATAAATATTTCATAACTACTTGAAGAGTGTTCTTTAAATGATAATGATCTGATGCTTTGTCATATTCGGATTTAAGTTTTTTAAAAAGAATTTCAGAAGGTTGAAGAATATGAGTAGTATTAAATAGTAAAAATAAAGAAGAATATTATGATCTTGACAAAACTTAATACTAGTAAGGTCTATATGACTAGTAGCTCCATCGAGTGTAAGTAAGATGGGATAAGCAAGAAGTATTGAATTATTAAAGTGCTCGATATACATTTTAAAGATATTTTCGTGCATATAGCAAGTATCAATAAACCTAGCAACAGTACTAGGTGGAACTGATGCACCTGTTAATAAACTTTCAATTACATTAACACCTTTATAGATAAGTAGTGGGAGAATGTACATTCCAGCTACTGAAATCGTAGAACAAACAGAGATATGCTCTTTTGAGTTTCCAGCTATGGTTTTATGGACTTGTCAGGTCCTTTTTGAGCTAACACTTTTTGTAACTGTGCTGAGATATTGAAACCACTTTTATCCATATTCCAAATTTTATCAGCCATAAATAAATATTTATAAATAAGTTGCCCAAGTTTTATAAAATGATTTTGAATAACAACTGGGTTAGCTTTAGCTGCACGTGCTTTAGAAAATTCCTGAAGAACACGAAAAGAAAGTTGTGGATGATCATGTATAAATCGGTTTCACCATTTTTTACTAGAGCTCTCTTTTATTAAATATCTTTTATTTTTTAATTCAAGAATCTGTATAATTATCGTATTTACTGCTGCTTTAGTGAGTCCAAATCTAATTTGTTGTATGTTTAAACAATATCCGACTAATTCATTTTCTTCTTCAGCTGTAAGTATTGTAGGGAATCTGGGCATTTTGGTGTACTACCTTTAGCTACAGCATCACACAGTGTTTGTTCAGCATTACCATGATTAAGAGCAACTCTACGAATACTTAAAGGTGAACTTGAACTAGTCTTTTGTATTTCAAGAAAATTTAAAGCTGCCTGAATAGACACTTGACGTGCAGTTGTATCCTGCTTTGAAGATATTACTCGGTTCATATTATACATACTATTTTTAAAAAAAAAAAAAATTCGTATTGTAAATGCGATGATTTTTTTTTTAAGGGTTTAATATAAATTCATGGTATACTAGATGTAAAATTATAAAATTGATTGTGGAACCTTTAGGTTATTTAAGTTTAATTTAACAAATTATAACAAATAAAAAAAAACTATAATTTTATAACAAATGCACTGGAAAAAAAAATATGATAAAGCATATGTTTAAACATGTGTTTTACAGACCAGCAAGAGTTCATAATTATATTTAAAATCATTAAATATATATTTTTTTGATTTTTTTTTTTTTCAATTAAAAAATTAATGTTAAAAATTGGTTTTGTCATTATAAAAGAAAGTATCTTGGAACAAATAATAAGAAAGAATAAAATTTTTATATAAAAAAAAAAAAAAATACTTTTAGAGTATATTTATATATATGTATAAAGTATATAATAAACTTAAACCTTATTTTATATACAAATTTAATTCATTGGCCGATGATAAATAGGTGAAATGTAGAATCTATGGAAATAGGATGATCCCTAAAAATAGGTACCTGTACCTTATATGAAAGGTATTATCTAGTTAAAATTGTGAGATATTAGCAATTTTAGAATTGAAAATACTAAGTAAATAAAATACTAACTTAATAAAAAAATCAAAATTATTATAGTAATTAATAAATATTAAAATTATTTATTTATTTA